TTAAACGAAACCATTGCCTATTGTCATGTAATCCCTATGGAATATCTCGGTAAAACTCGATAATTCTACTGTCCAATAATGCGTCAAATAGCATCAGACAAGTACCTCAAATAGAGACAATGAGGCTATTCGCTGAGCAATGCCATGGGATGCTGATAAATACTTCGATACTCAGTGTAAATCACTACATTTGTTTAAAACCAATGACTTTTCCAGGATAAGATTTCAGGGCATATTGCACCATCCCCATACAATCATCTACCAGAGGAAAGGACATTTAAGCAGGTCACGAGACCATGGAATTTCATTACCTGCAGTGCTAGAAGAATCTCGCATCATTTTGCCTGCTGGAGCCACATCGTGCTCATCATTGTCGTTTCGGAATCTAGTACATCTTGAATGATACGGCATCAACAGGTTTGGTTTTGGAGAAGCCATTCGCAATTTGTCACACTCCGGTGTACGATCAGCTCATTATATTTATGCGGTACTATATAGGAAGTACCAGTTCCTGAAACATCGTTAGAAGTGAGCGCGAGGTGACTTTACAGACAAATGATACAAGATGCATGTGACACTACAGGTACTGAAATACAATGGATCCGTTACTTGCATAAATGACCCCCTATGCAACTAGGAGCAAGGAAGTGATGCAATATGCCGTGAAGCCTGGTTTTGGAAGATTCAGTCGTTACTTGACATGCTCGGACGTAGGAACAGCTTATGATATTTATAGGGGGCATTCATTTATATAACGATGTGTTAATAAAAAACGTTCAATCCTTTTAGGTATTAAATTTTTCATCAGTTAAATATTGACCACTCACTTAATCAGTCAGTCATCTAGCATTATAAGTCGAGTGATTATCATGAGTTATAATAATGAGTCATAATTACGAAATAATTTTGGCATGTCACATGTATTCCCGCCCTGTGATTTGTGTGACGTCGTAGATGTTACCTGAGTTTAGTATCTGATGCTCTGTGTAGTCGTGGTAGTTTTTATCAGTCTAGAAGTCGCTGTACAAGTGACGTTCATATACTGTACAATCTCATGGTTTGCAGCATTATCCATCTTACGTGCTGCTAACAACGAAGTTAGAAGGTGCACTGCCACCAGCATTCACGAATCGGCATTGTAATGAATTTATGAACCAAAACGTGGTAGTATTTACTCGTCGAGGTGTTTCTGCTTGCGGGGGAAGGAATATGACCTTTGCCGAAACAGTGAAGTTTGTCTAATATCAATCGGCATTACACTCTCTAACCGTCAGACATCACGCATCTGGAAAGCTATGCTGCCAAATCTCTACCAGCCTTTGGTCAAACAGCTGCTACTAGCCAACGTCACTGCTTTCAGTGCCTGGCTAAGTCTTTCAGTGATAATTTATTGGCGACGATGAACCCTTTTCCCGTCAAGTGTCATGCCCACAGCAGTCCTGCTTGACCACCAGCTGCTCGACAATGGAGGTGATATTTGCTATAAGGCTATTATACAAGGAGATACACCTGGAATTCAACCAGTTGATGCAGGTGGCCTTCATAAACCGGAATTCGACATTAAATTTATTGGACAATTCTCCGATCTTCGTTGCATTCAAGGGTACTGGCGTTCTGTACCTCCTACTGAAACCTTCGAACGTTATTCACAAAAGGCGTCGTCAATTATGCATTATTCGAACCAGCGAAACTCAATTTCTGTTAGTAAACTCAGTTCGCATATGCTTAAAATTCGTACATATATCACTAATGTTGTTAACGTAAAAAAAATCAATTTAACAACTTCAACTTTATTTTGATTTCCAAAGTTCGTTTTGATTCCACCTTAGCTCGTAAATCTTGTAAGTTTTCGATTAAGTGTTTTCGTGCGGAAAATAAAGGTTTATGCTGTGAAACGTTTATTACACCGGTGTCAGCGTTTCGGTCACACCACACAATAGCTACCTTCTGGACAGAAAAATAGCAATGAATGTTACAGTATACAGTGTAAAAAATGTCTCGTAACATCGGCCTGTCTTTTGCCAAAAATAGTTGGCTGGAAAACTTAAAAGATAAACTTTCGCTTAATAAACCAAGTATGATCTACGCATAATTTAGAAAACACTAAAATGTAAAGTTTATGCTTCACTTCTGACAAATTTTTAAAGCATTACCAACGAAAGCACCGATGTGCTGCGTTATGGCACCGAATTCTTGATCAACAATACGCGAATGCCTTAAAGAATCCAAAAGCGTCGTTTTGCCATGATCGACATGGCCCATAATGGTGACGACAGGTGATCGTGGTTTCATGAGGGCTTTGTCGATCGGAGGCCTCGGATAGGCGTCTCGGTCGCGATTATTCAGCATGTCTGCCATGGAGACTTTTGACGGACGCGCGACGACGTTGCACCGCATTCCACTCAGTTGAGCGATCCGCACAATTAGTTTCATGTCTTCGATCGTCTCGTCTGGAGACTCGTACAGGTCCGCATATTCTGTGTGCAACAGGCAATCAAAAACGTGGTCGATCGTGCGATCCATTGAAGATGCCAAATCAGCGATAGACATCCCGATCCATACGTTGATCTGCTTTTTCTGCGACTTCGGATTGAAGTGCCTCGGGTCTTTCGGCTTGATCTTAAAACCCTTCCACAAGTTGCCCGTCGTCGTTATTTCTCGACACATCATCACCCTCCTTTCCGGCAGTTTACAAAAGCACATGCTACTAGATACTGGATTAAATAGGAACTCACAGTCAGCAACAACTGCAGAGAAATATCTAAAGCGCATAACTGGTCGAAAGATCATCTCAAACTGCAAGATTCAATTTTTCACAAAACACTTACAAAACACATATAACGCAGCACTATAGTCATGCAAGTTCATTTTCTCGTTTAAGTAGATTCTGTATAACCAACAAACCTTGATATAAGGTCCAATCAGTTGCATATGGAAACAGCCACATTCTGTTTGCCAGGCTTTGAGCAATTGTTATTCTGATGCGGACCAAAAATATTTTGCTGTCGCATGTCCAAGGCCTGGATATGAAAAGAAAAAAATTGAGGGCAGTGGCGAGGTTTTTCACACAATTTGTTAACCTGCCCCTCATGATAGTTGTACCGGCTCGGATATCGCCAGGTTAATTATGGGCCGAGAAGGATATTGGGGCACCCAGAATTACAGAAAATAATCGACGACCTGAACCTGCTTCTTGCTTGCTGGCAGCTAGTACAGTGGCAGTATGGCAACGGCTGCCAAAAATCGAAAAGAAGACGAAAAGATCAATCAACAAAGGAAACCGCTGTCCATTCTCAAATGATGAGTTAGATACGGTCATTGCTTTATAATGCGTCATTGATAATTCCACGCGAACTACACTAATTGCGGCGCACGGTCAAAAATTCGAATTGTACTAAGTACAATGTACACAAAATGTACTTTGCAGCATCCAATTGATGAGGCTCCAAGGTGCCTAATGGATATTTTGGACTCTCATTAACTAGGTACCAGAGACCGAAGATCATGAAGTAGAAGTCACTCTGCATGTAGAAACCACTCCGCTCAAGTGTGAACTTTGCTGCACATGCTCGGACGGGTGTATCAGTTCTGATAGAACCGAACCTCACTGAAAATAATATTGAATAGAAGCTTCTGAGCGGAAGTGTGGTAATGCTCCTACTAAAGTCACAGCAAAATAAACTGACATCATGCCACAGATATAGGCACGTAAATT